ACCGATGAAGATCGAGCGCCAAAGCATCTTGGTAAGGAGATCGTGAACGCAGTGGCTGAGTCCCAAGAGGAAACGCGGCGATGGCACAAGTGCAAGAAGGTTGGACACCTGGAGAAGAAACTGCCCAGATCGTTCCGCTAGAAGCAACAATGACCAGCCAGTAAAGTTCGCACTTGCCGCCGGTAACGACTTCAAGTCCGTGGACGCTACGAGCTGGATTCTGGACAGCGGTGCCAGCCGACATCTTGTCAATGATCCTGCGCTACTGGCTAACGTAGTGCAGTGCTCTGGTGAGGACACCTGCATGTTATCGGATGGGCGAACGATGGACGTAGCCAAGAAAAGATCGGTGGTTTTGAGAGCTATTGTCGACGGAGTCGCGGCTGAGGTGGAGCTCAGTGAGGTCGACTACGCACCGAAACTCGCGCGGAATCTGATCTCATACGGACGGCTGATAGCGAAGCGGTGCTTTCTCACCAAGCGCAACGGAAAGTTGGCGTTGATGAAAAGCAACGAAGTGGTATTCTATGTCGACGTAAAGCACAACGTGCTTGTGGCTAGACTTGAATCGGTAGCTACGAGCAATGCGAAGATGGAGCAGCTGATCATGAACGTGGTGGACACGAGTACGGACACAGCCTCGCCGGTCGTCGCCACGGACACGTTGATGGGCTTCCATGCACGTTTCGGTCACTTGTCATTGGACACCATTGAGCGTATGGCAAATGACCCCGCATCCGGCATCAAGATATCTAATCGTGACCGTAAGCCCTGCATGGTTTGTGCTGAGGGTAAACAGGCTCGAGCGAATCAACCGACTAAGGACACCGGGGAGCACGCACCGATCGACAAAGTCGGAGGAGTCATCTGCAGTGACCTGAAGGGTCCCCATGACGCCACTTGACCGCCAAGGTAACCGCTACATGGTTAACTTCGTGGACCACAAGTCGAACTACTGCAAGGTGTTCATGGCAAAGAAGAAGAACCTGGCTGCAAAGAAGTTCGAGAATTTTCTTGTCGAGCTCGAAAAACGGTTCGACGTTCGCGTGCATGTTCTCCGCACGGACGGTGGAGGAGAGTACCGAAACGTGGATCTCTTCTGCAAAGAAAACGTAGTGGCTCGTCAGGTGTCAGAAGTCGACAACCAAGCTGCAAACGGCAAGGCGGAGCGAATGCATCGCACGGTTCTCAACATGGCTCGGTGTATGGTGTTCGATGCAGGATTGCCGCTGAGCTTCTGGGGTGACGCGGCTGAGTACGCGACGTACGTGCCGAACCGAAGCTCGTCACGCGCTAACGAGGATCGGAAGTCGCCGCTCGAAGTGCTGACTGGCGAAGCACCAAACCTTCGCGACATTGTCATGTTTGGATCAAAGTGCTCCGTGTTTCGTGACCCCAGAAAGCGCGCCATGAAGAAGAGGGCGTGTGAGGGCGTCGTCGTCGGCAAGGACGAATCGACCAAGGGGTACAAGGTGTACCTGCCTTCGGAGAACAAGGTGATCGTCACGAGGCATGTGCAGAACATCCGCGCGTTGGAGGAGAAATCCGATGTGAAGACACCAACTGTTCAGGCTCCCACGACGACGACGCCACCGGCACCACGTTCCACACCACGAAGATCTCGTCGCTCACACCGCAAGTCGCGCCGCCGTGCTGAAGCTGATGGAGACGTGGAGGTTGACGAGTCAAAGCTAAACACTGAGCCTGTGGTTTTGACCGTATCCGAAGTTAAGGACGCCAATGCCCACGCTGATGACCCGGAACCGAAGAACTACAGGCAGGCGCGGAAGTGCGCCGAGAGCGCGCTTTGGGAGGCAGCTGAAAAGGAAGAGCTTGAAGCTCTACAGGCGAATAACACGTGGAAGCTGGTCAAGTTCGAGCCTGGTAGCATTCGCTTGCATACTAAGTGGGTGTACAAGAAGAAACGAGCAGGCACGGGTTTGATCGAGCGGTACAAGGCTCGACTAGTCGCCTGTGGCAACGAGCAAAAGTTCGGCGTTAGCTTCTTTCTCGTGTTTGCGGCTGTGATTACCATGACTGGTGTCAAGTTCATTTTCGTCATTGCGATCATATGGAATGTGCCTGCCAGACACGGCGACGTTCCAAACGCGTATGTAAAGGCGAAAACGGAGGAGGGTATCGAGATTTTGCTGTTCGTCCCCGACGGACTCGTTATCACGGAGGAAGAGCTGAAGACGCTCGGAGCTGAGAGCGTGGATGAAGTTGGTCTACTTCTTGGTCAGAGCCTTTACGGTCTGAAGCATGCAGGACGCCTTTGGCATGAGCACCTTCATCGCGAACTGGTCAAGCTTGGGTTCATCCAGTGCATTACGGACGCGTGCCTGTACTTCAAGGCTGACAGCGGTGGAATGACGGTCGTCGGAACGTACGTGGATGACCTGCTGGTTACTGGCACGGACGAGAACAGGGTTTCCCAGTTTTTCGCTGACATGTCCGTCCTGGAGCTCAAGGATCTCGGTGTTGCCAGCAATTTTCTTGGTATGCGCGTGCAGTACGACGAGCTCAGTGGCTACCGGTTTGACCAAGAGGCTGCAATCGTCGAGATGCTCACCAAGTTTGGGCTGGACAAAGTAAATTCGGTGCGATCGCCGATCGGAGGAGAAGACGCGGCAGAGTCAGATTTGGCAGAACTACTTCCGCACACGGCTAAGGAGACCGCGTCAGCAGGACCAACGGTGACAAATTTCCAGTCACTGGTGGGGAGCTTACTGTGGATTGCGAGATGCACGCGTCCTGACATTATGTTCGCTGTACACTGTGCAACACGACGGACTCATGCACCAACGATGGCGGATTAAAAGCTGGCTAAACGCATCGCCAGGTACCTGAGTGGCACCCGATCGCACAAGATGGATATGTCCGGCGACGACAATGCTAAAAGGCTACCACTACGATTGCGCTCGTATACGGACGCCGACTTTGCAGCCGACAAGAGCGACCGCAAGTCTGTGAGTGCGGCAATCATCCAAGTAAACGGAATGACTGTGTCATGGCAGTGCAAGAAGCAGAGTTCTGTGGCACTATCGACGACCGAGGCGGAGTACGTCGCTGCGACAGTGGGTGCTCAGGAGCTACTCGGGCTGAAGGAGCTACTGGGTGAGCTGGATATCGTCACCAAGTTGCCTATGGCCATGCTGATGGACAACCAAGCGGCTATCGTGCAAGTGCAGAGCGAAAAAAGCTCGGCCGAGGCGAAGCACGTGGACGTCAAGCTCAAGTTCATCCAAGACTGCGCCAAGAAGGGCGTCGTGGTGCCAGAGTATGTGGCTAGCGCGGAAATGCTTGCCGACCTGCTGACGAAGGCGCTACCGGCGCCACGGGTGAAGGAGCTACGGGAGAAGATCGGACTCGTCGACATCGAGTGATTCAAGAACCCGGGTTTTGGGAAACCCCCGAGTTCTCGGGAAGGAGGTTGGACATTGGATGTAAGAGCCAGCCAACGGACAGGCGACCGGAAGCCAGACCCCCAAGGACCTTTACGCAAGGTGTCGAGTCGACAATGTTGAAAGTTAGGACATTTTGACTTGGTTTCACTATGAGACCAATCAGAGCGAGTGTAGGCGCGGGTCTTTTCCAGGTTATGGGTAGTGGGCATGTTGAATCCAACAAAAAACTCCTCTGAATATATATCTCACTTTCACTTCTACCTTCTGCCGAGCAAGTGCCAAACCAACAGGAACTACCACCAGCAAGTTCACAGGGCCCCTCCCTTCTGCTTCTTCGTCTTCATCCACTCCACCGACATCCACATCCGACAACCCCACCCGTCGTAGCCTCGCTCGTACGAGCCGATGGATTCTGGAATGAGAGAATTTCTTGTGTTCGTCATTCGAATTCAGACCTTCACGCGTGCACCCGTACCTAAGCGGGAAAAGAAGGTGATGTCACAGAAGGGGCCTATTTTGAGTCACTCAAAATACAAATTTCATGTTATTTCGACCTCATTTTGTAAGAGCATAACGCGAATTTGGTCGAAAATTCACAATAGCTTTTTTGCGCGCTTCGCGTGTGCGCTGGTAGTAGCGCTTCTGCGCTGCATTCATGCACTCTTGGTATTGCTCATCTCCATTTTTGTTTATTATTAATTTTATATTTATCAGGATAGAAAAGTTAAAAGCTGGTAGTCCTAGGCAAGCATTGGCACATACAGCACAACGATAAAAGTTCATTCACGATAGTGACTCGTTAAGATCGAAACGACGAACTACGTATACATGTAAGAGTACATAGGCATCGACTGGACTAACTGTCGCGCGTAATCCATCCGCCTCGCCATGAGAAACTCTGGTTCCACCACATCTGCCATCAACTCGTATCGTTTCATCATCTCCTCTGCACGAGCATCAACCGGCTGGGGCAAGAAGTCATCAACCTTGATTATCTTGAAAGATCCAGGCATGAATGACGGAGGAGGTGGGGCAGACTCCGTTCGTCCCAGTACAGCTGCCTCGATAAATCGGAACGCGTTCTTCGGATACTTCAACGTAAGTTGGGTCAGAACGTGCTTGTCGCTGAACCAAGAGAAATGCCAGTGGTCGTTTAAATCCGTCAACAAACTCAGCGGATAGCAATTGAGAGGCGCCTTCATGCTGCAGAGCACAAGTTGACCAATTGCTTGAGGAACATGGCCCGGTTCGACTTTCTTCTTGAGCTCGATCACCAAGCTGACCCCAGCCAGCTTAATCAGTGGGTTCTTCGATGTTCGATTGATGAGCAATACATCAGCTGTGCCTTTCATAGCAAACGGAAGTCTTGGGTCCACGATGTTAAGAACTGATTTATCGCCCGCAATGTCATCCAACAAGAAGTCTCCTCGATCCATCAGCGTCTTCAAATGCTGCTGCAAGTACGCCATGTACCCAGCCCTTTGACTTTCCTCGCTCTCCACGATTTTTGGAATCCACGAATAACCGGCGATGGAAGTATCGACAGGCTCCTTGACATCAGGAATATTTTCGGTCAAGCGCATCTTCTTGACAATTTGCTCTTCCATCGCAGTATTCAGATCAGAAAACGAATACGCAGACGCCTTCTCATCTCGTTCCCTGAGGACCTTATTCATTGACATCTCCACTTGCTCTAGAGTCAGTGGCGTTGTCGCTGCAAACATCTCTTTTGAGATAGTACCGTCTTGCTCCGGAACCACCACCAGCACGTTCACAGGACCCCTCCCTTCTACTTCTTCGTCTTCATCCACTCCACCGACATCCACATCCGACAACCCCACACGTCGTAGCCTTGCTCGTGCCGCTCCCAGCAGCTTCAGACCAGTCGTATCAATCACATCCTTTTTCACTTCTTCTTCAGTCAGCCACGGACCGCGACCCTCGTCCTTCTTTGCCAGGAAGAGCTGCAGCTTGTCTGCATCAACCTCTTTGAAGTCGTTGGCCTTCTTCGCCTTGATCGCTTCCTTCAAGTCATCCACAGTTTTGCCTTCGTCTACTTCCACGGAGAACGCGCTTCCCGCCACACCAACAATAGAACAGAAAAGCTTCACCATCTCTACACGAGCCGATGGATTCTGGAATGTGGAAAAAGGTGTCGAGCCATAGGACTCGGCGTTGGCAGAATTGGAAGAAAAGGGAAGAACACTTGCGAAGAACTTAGTAAAAAGAAGAGTGAGATTGAGATTTAAGAGAGTAAGTGATGCGTGGCTGAGCAGCAGCCAACCATCTAGAATTCTGGTAAAAACCCAGTTCTAGATGGTAAATACAGCTTCTAGATCAATAATATTTACGAGGTTGGTGTACATGTGGTGTGGAGGAGACCAACACTCACACTTCCCCTGTCGCCAAAATTACCACTTGTACGAACGGCTCGGAAGCTGGGTATATGTAGCCAGTTTAATTCTAGATTTAACTAGAATCTAGAAAGTGTGGTTGCTGCTGGAGTCTTCTTACAGTTAAATATGTAAAGGCTCTACGACACATTTTGGAAGATTCTACTGACCTTTTTTTTTTTTTTTTTTCAAATTTCTGAGAAGTAGATAGTAAGAAAATGCCCCCCAAACCAGCTGCTCAAACACTGGGAAAGAAGAAGCGAGTACAGCCTTCTGATAAGAAGCAGAGCCTTCAGCCTCCTGCCAAGAAGCAGCGCCTACAACCACCGACTATTCTGTCTTCTGGGGAAGATGAAAGCGAGGACTCCCCGTGCAGTGACTCAGAGGTCGAAGAGAGCTTCTGCAGTGATGATCTCGAGAGTGAGTGCTCTGTTGGTGTCGGTTCGCAGGATGGGTTTAGTAGCGACGAGGACGAGCCTACAGCCGAGGAGAATATGTGGGTGCATGATCCAGATGTCAAGTACCAAGTATGGCAGATCGACGACGTCCGCTACAATAGTAAAGGAGAGATCTCGGAGGTCTGTGTCCTTTGGGACTGGCGCCCCACACCTCAAAGTCGGCGATATCGACGCTGGGAACCTGCTGCGTTGTTGATGGAGACTCACAGTGAAGAAGTGAAGCTCGCGGAGCGATTCAAGAAGAGCGGCGTCAAGCACTTTCAGCAGTTCTGCAAGACCGACGAGTTCGGCAAGCGCATTTTGGGACGCTAGCGATAACTACAACTGTCTTTTCAACGGCCTCAAGATCGGCGCTCGTGTTATCGGACGACCAAATCTTATCCCTGAAGACGTAGTCGACAAGTTTCTCGATGATGAGCTCAAGGAAGGTCGTGACTTGTTGCAAGGCTGCACCTGGAAACAGTTTGCAAAGTTGCTTCCTCGACTACGTGCCGCTCGGTGTGACCTAGTCATCAACTGCTTTCAGAAAAACTTGGCGCCTGGTGGTCACCGTGGACCCGCTTTTATCAAGACCTGGTTGTCGAAGATGGATGCTACCTAGTGGGTGCGTACAACCGAAACTTCTACGGACATTGTGTGGTTCTTTGCGTGGCAGACGGCGGCCAGAAGCGCTCCATATTCGATGAAGACACCGACGGCAACATCGTGGAGAAATCCATCGACGAGCAGAATTGGATTGTGTTCTACGCGTTTGTACGCCCATTTCGCGTCTTCAATCGCCGCGGGTAAGTAAATGCCCAAGTATGTCTGAGGTGGATTTTACGGTGAATTTTAAAATCTTGGACATTAAACACAATGCCTTCACCACATAGAGTCTCATTTATTATTGCATTGGGTGTGGTCGGTTTACACGTAGTAACTCTCTCATTTTCTCAAATGATGGCTTAGCCAAAGGTTTAGTGAAGATGTCTGCACACATTTTAGTTGTGTTACAGTAATTGATAGTGAACTCTTTTCTCGCTACTTTCTCTTGTACGAAGAAGTACTTAATATCGATATGCTTGCTCCTGCCATGCAGCTCGGGGTTGTTGCATATCTTAATGCAACTTTGGTTGTCTTCCAGTATCAATGTGGGTTTTGAGCTGTCGTAGCCTAGTTCTCTTAGCAATAGTTTAATGTACATCAGCTCTTGCATGCAATAGCAGAGTGCGATGTACTCTGCTTCTGTTGTAGATAGCACCACTGTGTGGTGGCGGCGTGAGACCCAACTAATAGGACTATTGCAGAACATGGTGATATATCCACCGATGCAGCGGCGTGTGTCTTGGCACGACGCATAGTCCGAGTCCGTGTATGCCATTAGGTATTCGTCTGACTGTAGAAGCTCTAGGTTTTCAACTCCTCCAAGAGTTATGCCAAAATCCGTTGTGCCTTTTAGGTAGCGCAGACCATGTTTGACGGCCTTCCAATGAGACTTCCCTGGGTTGCCCAGGTACTGGCTGACTTCACGAAGGAAGTAAGCAAGGTCAGGTCTTGTGCCGGTCATTAAATACATTAAGCCACCCACAGCTTCCCTGTATGGCATTGCTGCCATATTAGCTTTATCCGCTTCGTTGTCTGGGCAATCGCTGGCACTAAGCTTTTGTATGATTGGTGTGCTCGTAGGATAACTTCCTAGCATGTTGAAGCGATCTAGCACTTTGGTGGCATAGCTTTTTTGGTGAATGAAGATAGAGCGAGTGGCACGATTCCTTTCTATCGTCCAACCAAGGAGGTAGGATACTCCCCCTAAATCGGTCATGTGGAATTCTGAGCTTAGGGCCGATTTCACTCGTGCAACGACTTGCTTGGACGGTGAGATGATTAGTAGATCATCGACGTAGACCGAGATGTAACAGGGTGCATTGAATATAACTTTAAAGAATACGCAACGGTCCTTAATTAGGCGACGGAAACCAAGACGTTCGAGGTATTGTGCGAAAGTGTAGTACCAGACTCGGGGTGCTTGCTTGAGGCCGTAGAGGCTCTTGTCAAGGCTGCAAACGAGTTCAGGATGCGATTTCGACTTAAAACCTTCGGGCTGTTCCATAAAGATCTCAACATCAAGTGAACCATTGAGGAAAGCCGTTTTAACGTCCATCTGTTCAATTTCATAGTCAAGGATTGCTGCAAGCGTGAGCAGCAGTCGGAGGACTTCCATCCGTACAACGGGTGAAAATATCTCTGTATAGTCAATGCCATACTTCTGTTGGAAACCCTTGATGACCAGGCGAGCTTTAAAGCGCACAATGCTACCAGCGGCATCGCGCTTACGTACGAAAACCCATCGGCATTGCAGAACCTTACGGCTGTGCGGGCGAGGCACCAGAGTCCATGTCCTGTTGTGCATGAGCGAATGGTATTCTGAGAGAGCGGCAGCGTGCCAGTCAGATGCATGCGGTGACCCCATTGCGTCCTTATAGGTCTTTGGTTCCGGGTCATAGCGAGCAGCTAAGAGAGTAATGATGGTATGACGATGGGTTTGTTCTTCTTCTAAGTCAATAGACTCGTTCAGCAATAGAGCTTTGGAATATACTACATCAGCGTCTGGATGTTTGATTTTCTTTGGAGAAGAGGGACAAACGTCAGCATCAGTGGCCACCAGAGAGGCGTGATTTCGTTTGAGGAGTGCACTTAGTGATGGTAGGAGTTCTTTTTGAACAGGTAAAGACGTACTGAGTGGGTCTGGGGTGGCACGTTCAAGGAACGTCAAGTTGGGGAACGTCTCCTCTTTGAACGTAACATCTCGGCTATAGATGATTCTGTTCTCTGTCGTGCTGAGAAGGCGGTATCCTTTTTTGTTTTGCGGTAGGCCGACGAACCTGCACAATCGAGCCCGTGCCTGTAATTTGTTGCGATGCGGTTCAGGTATGAGAGCAAATGCTGCACAACCAAAAACTTTGATGTGCGCTAGGGATGGCTTCTTCCCGTGCCAGAGCTCATACGGTGTCACTCCTTTTGGGAGTACACTACTTGTGGTCACATTAATAAGATGAGTGACGTATTGACAGCACTCTCCCCAAAGCTGGCGAGGTAAGTCACCGTCAATCAGTAGAGCTCGCACTCGTTCGAGAATGGTGCGCATCCGGCGCTCCGCAACCCCATTTTGTTGAGGCGTGTATGCGTTTGTGAACTGAGCATGGGTGCCGTAGCGATCAAAGATGATCTTGCCTAATTTTTCGTATTCCTTTCCATTGTCACTCTGAAGCCGTTGAACTTCTGGGTCATACTGGTTGAATTGGGTTTCAAGTGTACTAACCTCAGTGTTGAAACGGTTCTTGGCTGCCTTACGAAACTTTTCATAGCAATCGTACAAATCAGACTTGTGCGCAACAACATATAGGTGCATAAAACGCGAATAGTCGTCAATGAATGTGATGAAATAATGTGCGCCACTTAGGCTGGGGTAAGGCAAAGGGCCATTAATGTCAGAATGAACTTTTTCAAGGGGAGATTTTGAACGATCAACATTGCTATTGAAAGGAGCACGATGGGCTTTAGCAAAGATGCACGAAGGGCAGAAGTGTTTTGGGATCGCAGATGCTTGGGTGAACGCTAGTTCAGGAGCCGCTTGGGTCTTAGACATGGTCTGCATCGCACGAAAGTTAGGATGACCGAGACGTTTGTGCCACAATAATACATTTGGGTCCATACCTGGTGGAGCCACTAAGGCTTTGACGGGGTTGTCGTCCGCAGAATCCGAAGACACGAGTGCGGTTGGAGGCGTCTTGGGAGGAGTCTTGGCTCTGAGTTGGAACAAGTCCATGTCGGCAGCGAGCTCAACATGAAGTTTGTAATTCTTGCCCACAAAGAACGTGCATCTCGTGCGACTGAATACGAGTCGAATGCCCATTTTCAGTACCTGAGCGATAGACAGAAGATTAAACTTCATGTCCGGCACGAAAAGGACATCGCAGAACTCAAGCTGGCGAGTGGTACCCTCAGAGTCGACCACCTCAAGGATGATATCACCGATGCCGCGAATGGGGAGTTGCTGCTTGCCGCCAACCATGATGGTGCCAGCATAAGGGCGGATCTCTTTGAACCAGGATTCCTGGTAGGCAGCATGGCGGGTGCATCCCGAGTCGACAGTCCATGTAGGGTCATGAGGATCAGAGGACGTAGCCGAGAGACCGATGTCAGGCATTAAGATGGTCGTATAGGCAATGAGGCCGGCTTCACGTTCGCGCGAGTGATACTTGCGCTGGAGCTCTTGGTAGTTCACCGGGTTGCCAAAACGGTCATAGATTTCAGGTGCCTTCCAGGGTTGGGAGCCTTGGTCAGGACGTCCTGAGGGCCGTTGGCGGTCGCCGGAACGCTGATAG